TACATAATGATCAAGGGACTAATCCAAGAAGAAGATATAAAAATTATAAATGTTTATGCACCCAACAAAGGAGCACCTCAATACATAAGGCAAATGCTAACAACCGTAAAAGGAGAAATCGACGGTAACACAATAATAGTAGGGGACTTTAACACCCCACTTACATCAATGGACAGATCATCCAAACAGAAAATAAATAAGGAAACGCAAGCTTTAAATGACACAATAGGCCAGACAGATTTAATTGACATTTATAGAACATTCCACCTGAAAGTGGAAGAATACACTTTCTTCTCAAGTGTACACAGAACATTCTCTAGGATAGATCACATCTTGGGTCACAAATCAAGCTTTGGAAAATTTTAAAAAATTGAAATTGTACCAAGCATCTTTTCTGACCACAACATTATGGGATTGGAAATCAATTACAGGAAAGAACCTGTAAAAACCACAAATACATGGAGGCTAAACAGTGAGCTACTAAATAACTAAGAGATCACTGGAGAATCAAAGAAGAAATTAAAAAATACATAGAAACAAATGACAACAAAAACACAACAACCCAAAACCTATGGACCCAGCAAAAGCAGTTCTAAGAGGGAAGTTTATAGCAATTCAATCTCACGTCAAGGCGCAAGAAAAATCTCAAATAAACAATCTAACCCTACACCAAAAGCAACTAGAGAAAGAAGAACAAACAAAACCCAAAGTCAGTAGAAGGAAAGAAATCATAAAGATCAGAGCAGAAATTAATGAAATAGAAACAAAGAAAACAATAGCAAAGATCAATAAAACTAAAAGCTGGCTCCTTGAGAAGATAAACAAAACTGATAAAGCTTTAGCCAGACTCATCAAGAAAAAAAGGGAGAGGACACAAATCAATAAAATTAGAGTTGAAAAAGGAGAAATGACAAGTGACATCATAGAAATACAAAGGATTATAAGAGACTACTACAAACAACTATATGCCAATAAAATAGACAACCTTGAAGAAATGGACAAATTCTTGGAAAGGTACACTTTTCCAAGACTGAACCAGGAAGAATTAGAAAATATAAAGAGACCTATCTCAAGTAATGAAATTGAAACTGTAATTTAAAATCTTCCAACAAACAGAAGTCCAGGACAAGATGGCTTCTATCAAACATTTAGAGAAGAGCTAACCCCCATCCTTCTCAAACTCTTCCAAAAAATTGCAGAGGAAGGAACACTCCCAAACTCATTCTATGAGGCCACCATCACCCTGATACCAAAACCAGACAAAGATATCACACAAAAAAGAAAATTATAGATCAATATCACTGATTAACATAGATGCAAAAATCCTGAACAAAACACTAGGAAACAGAATCCAACAACATATTAAAAGGATCATACACCATGATCAAGTGGGATTTATCCCAGGCATGCAAGGATTCTTCAATATATGCAAATCAATCAATGTGATACAACATATTAACAAATTTAGGAATAAGAAAACATGATCATCTCAATAGATGCAGGAAAAGCTTTTGACAAAATTCAATGCTGATTCATGATAAAAACTCTCCAGAAAATGGGCATAGAGGGAAGCTACCTCAACATAATAGAGGCCATGTTATGACAAACCCACACCAAATGTCATTCTCAATGGTGAAAAACTGAAAGCATTTCCACTAAGATCAGGAAAAAGACAAGGATGTGCACTCTTGCCACTCTTATTCAACATAGTTTTGGAAGTCCTAGCTATGGCAATCAGAGAAGAAAAAGAAATAAAAAGAATCCAAATTGGAAAAGAAGTAAAACTGTCACTATTTGCAGATGACATGATACTACTATACATAGAAAATCCTAAAGATGTCACTGGAAAACTGCTAGAACTAATCAATGAATTTGGTAAGGCTGCAGGATACAAAATTAATGCACAGAAATCTGTGGTGCTCCTATACACTAACAAGGAAAAATCAGAAAGAGAAATTAAGGAAACAATCCCATTTACCACTGCAACAAAAAGAACAAAATATCTAGGAATAAACCTACCTAAGGAGGCAAAAGACTTGTACTCAGAAAACTATAAAATACTGATGAAAGAAATCAAAGATGACATAAACAGATGGAGAAATATACCATGTTCTTGGATTGGAAGAATCAATATTGTGAAATGACTATACTACCCAAAGCAATCTACAGATTCAATGCAATCCCTATCAAACTACCAATGGCATTCTTCACAGAATTAGAACAAAAAGTTTACAATTCGTGTGGAAACACAAAAGATCCCGAATAGCCAAAGCAATCTTGAGAAAGAAAAACGGAGCTGGAGGAATCAGGCTTCCTGACTTCAAGCTATACTACAAAGCTACAGTAATCAAGACAGTATGGTACTGGCACAAAAACTGAAATATAGATCAATGGTACAAGATAGAATGCCCTGAGATAAACACACACACATATGGTCACCTAATTTATGACAAAGGAGGCAAGAACATAAAATGGAGAAAAGACAGCCTCTTCAATAAGTGGTGCTGGGAAAACTGGACAGCTACATGTAAAAGAATGTAATTAGAACACCACCTAACATCGTATACAAAAGTAAACTCCAAATGGATTAAAGACCTAAATGTAAGACCATACACTATAAAACTCATAGAGGAAAACATAGGAAAAACACTGACATAAACCACAGCAAGATCTTTTTTGACCCACCTCCTAGAGTAATGGGAATAAAAACAAAAATAAACAAATGGGAACTAATTAAACTTAAAAGCTTTGCACAGCAAAGGAAACCATAAGCAAGACAAAAAGACAACCCTCAGAATGGGAGAAAATACTTGCAAATGAAACAACAGACAAAGGATTAATCTCCAAAATATACGAACAGCTCATGGAGCTCAATATCAAAAAAACAAACAACCCAATCCAAAAATGGGTGGAAGACCTAAATAGACATTTCACCAAAGAAGACATACAGATGGCCAAGAGGCACATGAAAAGATGCTCAACATCACTAATTAGTAGAGAAATGCAAATCAAAACTGCAATGAGGTATCACCTCACACCAGTCAGAACAGCCATTACCAAAAAATCTAGAAAAAAGGGTGTGGTGAAAAAGGAACCCTCCTGCACTGTTGGTGGGAATGTAAATTGATACAACCACTATGGAGAACAGTATGGAGGTTCCTTAAACAACTAAAAATAGAATTACCATATGACCCAGCAATCCCACTGCTGGGCATATACCCTGAGAAAACCATAATTCAAAAAGAGACATGTACCACAATGTTCACTGCAGTACTATTTACAATAGCCAGGACATGGAACCAAGTCAGAAAGAGAAAAACAAATACCATACGCTAATGCATATATATGGAATCTAAAAAAAAAAAAAAAAAAAAAATGGTACTGTTGAACCTAATGGCAGGGCAGGAATAAAGACGTAGACATAGAGAGTGGACTTGAGGATATGCGGGGGAGGGAGGGGAAAGCTGGGGTGTAGTGAGAGTAGCATCGACATATACACACTACTGAATGTAAAATAATTAGCTAGTGGGAAGCAGCAGCATAGCACAGGGAGATCAGCTTGGTGCTTTGTGATGACCTAGAGAGGTGGGATGGGGGGGGGGGGAGGGAGGCTTAGGGGGGAGGGGTTGTGGGGATGTATGTGTGCATGTGGCTGATTCACTTTGTTGTACGACAGAGACTAACACAGTATTGTGAAGCAATGATACTGCAATAAAGATCTATAATAAAAAGAAGCCTATGCTATAAAATAAAACAAAAGAATGAGACACTTAGAGCAACTTTAGTTCATATTCTCAAATTTTAATTGCTGCCCATATGGAACTGTTGCTATAGAGATCATTTTTGTTATAGCCTGAATGTGCTGTCCCCAAAGGATAAGGGAAGGGGGATTGATTTATAGAGGGCCAGACTGGTTGAGTATGGCCAACTGTGTGAAGACTGGAAATGAAAGTGACAAATTTAGAATTAACCTGACCCAGCAACAATACCTAAAGGATTTCATCTGTGGATGGCAGAGTGGGGAATTCCAGGTGGAGACATTAGTTTGAAGGTGGCCACCAATTGTTGCTTGAGGTTACGAGTTATAAGGTCTAGTCACCAAGGAGAAGCATCTGATGATAACCAAATACATTGTTGGGACTTCAGTCAAACAATCTGAATTTCAGTAGCCAGCTCTAGTTCTAGATGCACATGTAAGACAAAATCAGAAAATCAAGACAGAAGGCTAGAGCTAGGATTAGGTACTGGTGGGGGAAAAGAAACAGCTTGGAAGGTTTCAGCACAGTATGCATGATAAAGCCAAGGGATCAATCAAAAAGTATGAAAAGTTTATGACAGGAAGATGATGTCTATAGCCTCAATGACTAGAGCTGTGCAAGGCCTGAGAAGGCAGGGGCTAACAATTTTAAAAGTATGATTTGTATTCTTTAAAATTATGAAAGCAATACATATTCACTCTTGAAAGTTTGAAAAATATAGAAAAGACAAAAGTCAATGCAATTTTTTCATACTCTAAAAGCAAACATCTTCTTTGTAAATAGTGAGCTAAATACTTATTCATTTTATTTGCCAGAAGTTTATAACTGAATAATTTTAAGTCATTGGTCATTGTTCATTCTCTTGTATTATCTTCTTAAAAGCAGAGAAATCATAAGAATGAATTAATATTCCCCTGCTTTTAAGGATGTAGTCAAATGCAGATTCTGTCATTTTATGGGAAAAAGGGTAAATATTTAAAAGTAAAAATTATGCTTTTACATAAGAACTAACAGCTATCTTAATCTTATAAGATTTCAAATTCTATTCTTATGTTTTAACTTCCTACTTGTCCAATATTTTGTAAAAAACATATATTGTATGCACGTTTGGTCTAGGAAATTCCAGAAAGAATCAAAGGTGTGCATAGAAGCAAAGAGACCTATCTGAAGTAGCCTGGCAAATGGACAGAATTTTTTAAAAACAAATAAGACACATGCTGCTGAAAGCCACATTACTGTTACCTTCTCCCTCCAGTTATCACCGTTCAGCATCTGCTGTCTAAGGGTTTCCTGCAACTGCTCCATGCTTTTCTGATGTGAAATCAGCATCAATTCCCTGAAAATCATAAACACAACAAATGAGTCAAGACACACCCTTAACACCCTTCTTAAATTACAGTTCGTGGCTCAGGGATTATTTCACAACTCAGTCTGTTTATTCTTCTCTTTAGAAATATATATATACATATGTGTGTGTGTGTGTGTGTGTACTGCTACTACATACTATTTTAACTGTTGTTAACAGCAATTTAAAAACACTGGCAACAAGGTAAGTATTTTCTCAGGCTTAATTTTTGCTTAATAAGTAATATTATTATTTTTGCATGAAATAGTAACAACATATGTGTAGTCACAAATATAATAAAATACTATACATTGTGGTTCTAAAGTTTATGACTAAATTCTAACACTAGGTCATATTTTGTTTCTTTAAAAAAGGAAAATGTGTTGGGATATGACACAAAACCAGCACGTTTGTAGTTCCTGCTAGATTTATTTTTCTTTTATTTATCTCAAGTGCTAATAGGAACAGACTGAATTAAGTAGAGGGTAATATCTGAAATGTGGTATAGTACAAAACATACTAGAAAATAGGAGAGAAAACACAAAGAACATTTTAATATTTTAATCCACGTAATTGGATCTTTTTTTAATAAATTTATTTATTTATTTATTTTTGGCTGTGTTGGGTCTTCACTGCTGCATGCGAGCTTTCTCTAGTTGTGGCTACTCTTCGTTGTGGTGTGCGGGCTTCTCATTGCGGTTGTGGAGCACCCGCTCTAGGTGCGCGGGCTTCAGTAGTTGTGGCACACAGGCTCAGTAGTTGTGGCACACGAGATTAGTTGCTCCGCAGCATGTGTGATCTTCCCATGTCCCCTGCATTGGCAGGTGGATTCTTAACCACTGCACCACCAGGGAAATCCCCACGTAATTGGGTCTTAAAGCTAAGTTTGTGACCCTCTGGGTGGAAGTAAGTGTGGGAGATTCATGAGAACATTTCTCCAGGGGCCCTGAAGTTAAGACTTTAAATATCACAAGTGGTGGCAAAAGTATGCCTGTTGATCAGGGAGTCCCTCCACCCCCTTCTATAATCACCATAACCCTTCTTATTTTCTGTGTAGGTGATTCTTTTCCATTGCTTATTCCTCTTTCTAATCCCTTTGTTTTCCGTCATCACCCTCTTCCCTTTAGTTCTGACCCCTTTTCTCAAACTTGTGACTTTCATTTATAACTGCCTGTTAGACATCTCCACCCTGATGAGCCATCAACACCAAAGATTCCACACATCAAAAAACAAATTCATCATCATCTCCAACGGTCTTGCCTTTCCTTTTGACTTCTGAAACCTTCAACAGTCACAATCTTTAGCTTGAAATCCCTGAGTCATCTCTGACTTTTCCTTCTTCTTGTTCTACCACGTCTATTCAGTAACAAGTTCTATGTATTCTGCTCCGTGGTGCACCTCGAACTATTTCCTCCCTTCCTTTCCGACTACTAACAGTTAAGGTTCTTGACTTTATTTCCCACCAAGAGTATTATAATAGACTGTCAATCTATCTTGATCTGTATTCTCATCTCACTCTTACAGTATTATTAAACATTTTTTAATAAAAATAGTGCCTACATTTCTAGGCTAGAAAATTTTAAGGTCATGAACATAAAGACACATCAACTTGGTAACCAGGATTATGAATATTATTTGAGGGAAAATGATTGAAAAGAACAAAACTCCCCAGACTTTTTTTTCAGAACTGTGTCAGACTAGGTACTTTGACAACTTTCCTACTGAAAATAAGTAAAGTTTTGTTTTCACTTATAAAAAAAAATCTTAAAATTCATCAGTGATCTGGACAAAAAGTTAGGAAGATGCAGGAAACACAAATCAAGAGAAAGGACAGAAAAAGGTTATCAGTGGAAAACTAGTGAAATTTGAATAAAGTCTATAGGTTAGTTAATTGTATTACACCCATATTAATTTCTTAGTTTTTACATATGTGCCATGGTTATGAAAAATGGACAAGAGGGAAACAAATTCTCTGTAACTTTTCTTTAAATAAAAAATTATTCCAAACTAATGGTTTAAAAAAATGAAGTAAAAGGAAGAACCCCAACAATAAGTAGAGCATTGAAGCCAATTCTCACCTTGAAGGTACTTTCCAAATCTGATGTACTTGAGCATTAAATTTCACAGCCATGAAGGGCACTGGAGTCAGGAGAGAAAGGAAGAGCTTGAGAGGAAACTCACCTGCATAAAACTGCATCTCAAAGAGGGACACATGCAGTATGCATTTTTGTCATACTGTATGTAAGAATATGAAATTCACACCCAGTATGTGTAAAATACAAATAACATCCCCTCTCAAAGAACAAAAAAGAAATTTCCGGCTTTGAAGTTTGGTGCTAGGTAGAGGGGAAAATACAAATCTCCCACAAGAATTTGTAAACACAAGCCAATCCCAGTGCAGGTTTGTATCCTGAATTCACACTACCTGAGTGGTCCAAAAAGCTTCATATTGAGGAGATATCTTACAATGGTGTTAGGATAACCTTGCCTCCAGATGCCTGGTAGGAAAAGCACCAATATGTTTGGGAGAAACCTATCTTCGACTTGAAACTCAGAGATTCCTACAGATAAAAATTTAAGACCTATGAGACCATAATTTTAAGAATCACAAAATTATTTTTTTTAAAGCTAGTAAGAGGAAGAATGAGCAGATACAAATGATAGCATAATCAAAGCCACAAATTCTAAAGTATTTTCAGATATTGAATATAAATAAGGATGTACAATATGTTGGAAGAAATAAAAGATTAATTTAAATGACTAATGAAATCTGAAATGAACCAATCAAACTTGTAGAAATGAAGCATATAATAACTGAGATGAAAAGCTCAGTAGATGGTCCTATAGCAGATTATTCACAGCGAAAAATGAAGTAATAAACTGAAAGGGAGATTCAAAGAAATTATACAGGGTGCAGTACATGATGTCAAAAATATGTAAAATATAAAAGAGGTTGATATATGGAGGACAGAGTGAAAAGATCTAATATTTCTCTATTTACCATTTCAGAAGCAAATGAGAGAGAAAGGGAGAGGAAGGACATTACAGATTGATGAAAAATACCAACCCATAAATCTAGGAAGCCCAAAGGATTCCAAGCAAGATAAATAAAAATAAATCTCATATCTGGCACCTGGTAGTGAAAATGAAGAATATTGGAATTAAAAGAGATTTTAAAAGACGCTGGAGAGGAAATAAAACATATTGTCTTCAAAGGAACTCAAGCATATTGAAAGCTTATTCTCCAATAGAAACAAGGAAGGCCAAAGACAGCAAAATAATGTATTAAAAATCCCATGAGAAAATAACCATCAATCTGAAGTTGGGTACCCAGCAAAACTATCTTTCAGAAAGAGGCCGAAATAAAATATGCTCAGAAAAATAAAATTTGAGGGTTTACTGCCAGCTAAACGACTTCTAAAAAACATGCTTTGCAGGAAGGATTATGATCTCAGAAGGAAGGTCAGACGATCAAGAAAAAATGGTGAGCAAAGGAACTGGAAAACACACAGGCAGGGAGGGCTTCTTGGGTGTGCGATCGATTCAGCTGTACAGGGCCCATGTTCTGAAGAGGGTCCTGGGTTTCAGATTTAATGCTCTGTGGTCACCACTGAGAAATTCTTAACAACTTTATCTTTGAGTCTGTGTTTTGTAAGTGAGGTCTAATGGGACAGTCAAGCACATGCTGGGGCCTTGGAGCCTCGGCTCACACACAGTCCTACCTCTCAACACCTCCCTGTCTCCCCAGGATGGTTCTCAACCCTTTTCTCCCTGACCCTTGCCCAGCATCTGCTGTCATCCTCTGCTTCAGTGGGCACAGGCATGGGGAATGTTGGGTCTGCCATATGTGTCCTTTTGGCTGAGTCTGGGGCAGGGCCTTGGGTGCCTCTGAGAGCCTGCATCCATGCTACGATTTCTCCATGCCCAAGGGAGCACAAGATTCAATAGCAAACAAACAAAAAAAAGACCCTGACAAGCTGAGAGAAGATGGTGAAGGAAAGGAAAAAGCTTCTTTCTTTTTTTGAAGGGGCTCCACGTTTTCATTTTACACTGGGCCTGAAAATTATGTAGCCAGCCTTGTATGTAAGTACTTGTAAATAAATGTCATCTGTATAAAATATTAGTTTTGACTGTGTGTAATCAGTGGGGCTAACAAAAGTATAAAACTAGAACACTAGACAAAAATGTAGAATATAGGATGGCAGGATGGCAACTATAAGGTGCCAGTGTTATTCAAGAGAAGTTTGCATTATTCAAGAGAAGTTTGAGATATTAATTTTAAACTTCATTAAGCATGCATGGTAAAATCTCAGAAGTAACCACTAAAAGAACAGAATACGCCATTAGAAGAAGATGCACTAAGAAAATAAAAGAAACTCCAACAATATTGCCCCCGCCCAAGGCCCAAAAGGAGAAAAGAGTGTAGAAAAAGAGGGAGAAGTATTGATAGAAAACTTAAAGTAACAATCATAATAATGGCAAATAAACTGAACTCATGAGTTAAGAGAAACAGGCTTGATAAAACCAAACCCTATCCCTAACCCTACATATTGGGTTAAGTAAAATATATTAATTAAGATAACTTTTACCTGTTTATTTTTACTCTTCTAATATGGCAATTAAAATTTTTAAAGTGACATATGTGGCTCACATTATACTTCTACTGAACAGCACTGTTATAATCCACATTCTCTGAAAACAAAGAAACGTCAGTAACAAAAGATAAATATCTCCATGTATTTGGAGCTTTTAAAAAATGTGTTTCTGAATAACTCTTGGGTCACATGAAAAATCATAACTGATACTTCAAAATACTTAGAAATGAACAATAATAAAATTTCTACACATTAAAATTTATGAAATATAGCTAAGCAGAAAAGATAAATAAATTGTGGTATACTTCAGAATATAATACAGATGAAGAAATGAATGATCTTCAGCTACATGTAACATCATGGACAAAAATCCCAGGGACATAATCTTGAGCACAA